TCTATAAGAAGACCTAGGGGTCTTCTATGAGAATCTATAGGTGTCTTCTATTAGAAGACTTAGTTGTTCTCTAAAAGAAGACCTAGTATAGGACTACTACCTAGTAGTCGTATAATACGACCTAGTGGTGGTCTTCTATGAGAAGACCTAGTGATCGTACTTATGAGAAGACCCGGTGGTCTCCTATGAGAAGACCCGGTGGTCTCCTATGAGAAGACCCGGTGGTCTCCTATGAGAAGACCCGGTGGTCTTCTATGAGAAGACCCGGTGGTCTTCTATGAGAAGACCCGGTGAGAAGACCTAGTGATCGTCCTTATGAGAAGACCCGGTGGTCTTCTATGAGAAGACCCAGTGGTCTTCTATGAGAAGACCCGGTGGTCTTCTATGAGAAGACCCGGTGGTCTTCTATGAGAAGACCTGGTGGTCTTCTATGAGAAGACCTGGTGGTCTTCTATGAGAAGACCTGGTGGTCTTCTATGAGAAGTCCTGGTGGTTTCTATGAGAAGACCTGGTGGTCTTCCATGAGAAGACCTGGTGGTCTTCTATGAGAAGACCTGGTGGTCTTCCATGAGAAGACCTAGTGGTCTTCCATGAGAAGACCTGGTGGTCTTCCCTGACAAGACCTTGTGGTCTTCCATGAGAAGACCTGGTGGTCTTCTATGAGAAGACCTGGTGGTCTTCTATGAGAAGACCTGGTGGTCTTCTATGAGAAGACCTGGTGGTCTTCTATGAGAAGACCTAGTGGTCTTCTATAAGGAGTCCTTCTATAGAAGTCCTGGCTTCTAAAAGAAGACCTAGTGCTCGTCTAGAATAAGACCTGGTGATCTTGCTTGAAAAGATCTCTGAAAGTCCTTCAAAATCTCGCGACTCTTCCTCTGAAAATTTTTCAAAAATTATCTTTAAAATCCAAGCTAATAGCTCTGAAGATTTTTAAGGGAAATTCTTAAAATTCCACGATTATTGGTGTTATAGTCCTCCAAAGAGTCTCTTAAAAATCCACTATTCATCAGTCAATCTTGGTGCGTAGGCATGTAATAAGGCTGAGTTTCTGGAGGGAACGAAAAGTACTAAAACCTACTAAAAATTGTATACTTTGTATTGGGCAAACGAAATGGGTGAGAGTTCAGAAATTTGGAATGAAATATCACTGCTAGAGTGCAGGATAGATGTACATAAGGGTGTTATTAAATTCTAACTTTAAAGTTACGAAAAATTCTAAAATGGTAATAAACTCCTAAAATGTTACCATTTCGTATTTTGTGAACGGATAGAGTTAAAAACTTGAAGTTTGGTATGCGAATCAAGGTTGGAACGTAAGTTTGATGTATGAAGATGAACGTTTTTGAAATGTGTCCTAAGTGTGCGAATTGTACTATATGGTACTAAATTTGGAATAATTTGGTTTAGGGTGAACGAATAAAGCTGGAATTTTAAAACTTTGAAAAAAACGTCTGTCTTGTTACGCAAGCTTCTGAAAATTCGTTTTTTTTTTTTCATAGTAAACGAGTACAAAAAGTACCAAATAGTACTATATTTGGTACTATTTGGTATTGATAGAATCTGAAATTGGATATTAGGGTCGTTGTTCATGTGTAGCCTGGACATATGGAGGTGGTTTCGAAAATGTACGAAAAGTACTGAACGGTAGTATATTTGGTATTGGACGGAGGGACAATTTAAGAATTTAACATTTAGATTAGGATCTGTATTTGAGATTTGGCGGCGGCTTGGAAATACGTCCTATATTTGTACAAAACGTACTAAATATATTAGGTGAAGGGATAAAGCTAAAATCCCGAAATTTTACTATAATTTGTAAAATGTGAATTTGAAATCCTGAAATTTTATATGTATGTCACTGTTGGTGTCTATGGTGGAAAAGTTCTAAGTGGTACTAAATTTGGTTTAAAGTGAGTAGATGAAGCTGGCATTTTGAAAATTTGTACTGGGTAACCTTTTGGTGGAAGGTTTGTGATAAAGAGTTGGTTTTAGAAATGTGAACTACAAGTGTGCACGAAAGGTACTAAATAGTACTACATTTGGTACAAATTGGTATTTGATGAGCAGATAGTGCTTGAAATCTAAAATTTGAAGAAGGTTCGCTGTTTATGAGTAGCCTGGACATATGGAGGTGGTTTTGGATATGTGTACGAGGATATTGTACGAAAAGTACTGAATGTTACTATATTTGGTAATGGGTGAAGGGATAGAGAAAAAAAATTGAAATTTGATGTTGAGGTCACTTCAAATGTGGACGAAAGACATTTAAGAGATATTTCTTTTTATACGAATGGACCAATATCAAGAAGTCCAATATCAAAATCTCCAAATTACACAGAATGTTTTATATGTTTTTTTTTCAAAGAATTCCAAAATTATATATTTCATAAATTTGCGTATCTACAAATCATTTGCACTGAGTAATTATTAATAATGTCCATGGCATTTGCATCATTTTCCATTTTTATGTTCATGATTTTCCAGTGAATATTTATTACAGATGTTCATCATCACACAACACTTTCTGGGAAATTTTCAAATTAAATAGCAAATCCAATAGACAGTGGGCGGAGATTCTGTGAAATTGTTAACACAAATTTTTATAAAACATTTTTCCGGAAAAGATATAAATATTCAACAGATGTCGAAAAATTTAATGTAATACAAAGAATTGAGAGGGTGTTAAATTTGCACCCTTAAACTGTAATCATTGAAAATCGTAGTTTTTTAAGAGCTAAAGAAAATCTTTTAAAAAAATAATAAATAAAACTAAAGAAAATCTTTTAAAAAAATATGAAAAAATTTCAGAAACATTTTTTAAACGCTTATAATGCTCTCTAGGGCTTGAAAATTATATCATGCAAATGTTGTCCGCGAACATTTGGCTAAATTAAATGGAGAAAAAGGCAAAATGTAAAAAATGAGTACTATCATGTCCACTAGGTAATTTCAGCAACCTAGACTGGCTATCGTACTGAGAATTTATAAGAAAATTTGCAGCGAATTTGAAAAAATGGTAAATTTTTCAGATAAAAGCAAGGTCTTTCAATAATAAAAATTTATTTCTTTTGTTAAGAGACTCACATTGATTTGGAATAATTCTTACTTTGGCACTTTCCCCAAAAAATTAAATATAAAGAGTCGTTTTGTCTCGGATTGTACACGTGTACCTAGATACATGGTTTATTCTGAGATTTAGTGAAATGCTGTGTGGAATATTTCCTCTGTTGACATCTTCCACCTAAAACGAAATTCTACGTTATTTTCAGGTGTCAACGCGGAAAAAAGTCCAAGAATATTTGATCAAAAAAGGAGTAGGGGATATTTTCAGATTTTATATATCATATGATACGGCCAAAACGTGTTTCATTGGAATAACGATTTTAGATCCAAGGTCTCTTTGGACCAAAACCCGTCTCACGATATTTAGAGTCGATCTAGCAATGTCCGTCTTTCTGTCTATCTGGAGGCTGGTGCGCACGATAACTCTCGGAGAGAGTATCCAATTTGGTCCAAACTTGGTACATCGTAATATTATTATCAAAATTAGATCGAGTTAGCAGATGGACAATATCGGTCCACTCCTCCTAGTACCTCCCCCACAAAATGTCAACATTGTAAAAGAAAATATTTTACTGCATAGAAAGAGAAAGGACAATCCGATTTTGCTCCAACTTTGCAGATCCGAATATTTTCATCACTTGCTAAGGCATGTATGAAAATGGACAATATCGGTCAAGTACCTCCCACACATAGGGTGATATTTAAATAATTATTACTATTATGAAATGTGATGTAAGTTTCCGATTGTCTTCAAATTACGGAAATCACAATATTTTTATTAACCCAAGGTCTGGTGGGCAGATTGCATATATCTACGCACTCCTTCTGGATCCACAAAGGGTCAAAATATTGAATATCCATGAAGCTCATAAAACGCGAAATTAACATCCGATTCCATTCAGACTTGGTATATCTCAATATTTCCATTAACACAACATCTTTTATAAAGATGTTAGAGATCGGACCATTTATTTTGGTATCTCCCACACAAAGGGTCAAAGTTTTGAATAACCAAAACGATCATAAAATCCGAAATAAGCATCCGGTTCTCTTCATATTTCACAAATTCCATTATTTCTACTAACGCAAGATCTGCTGCGAAGATGGGATATATTGGTCCACTTCTTCTGGTACCTCCACCACAAAGGGTCAAAATTTTAAATACCCACGAAGCTCATAAAATCAAAAAATCATGGATTTTGTAAGTATTCCAATTTTTTTTTTTTATTATTTTTTTCTCTATTTTAATTTGTTTTTTGTTTTTTTTTTTTTTGTTTATTAAATAGAAATGCCTTGAGTGATTATTCTTCCACTGTGCTGCCTACGTATGATTAACACGCAGCAAATTTATTTGTTTACATTACCCATACGGCAGGTGGGCTACTAAGAAAATATTCCAGACACCTAACACAACAGCCCAGAATGGATTCATGTCGTGCCGTTTCAATTATAACATAAAATATGACTGATGATACAGTTATAAGGCCAGAAGATGTCTGGGTGGGCCAGAAAACCGAAAGGCCCCAAGTCATAAACAAATTTCGTGTTAATAGTGCGTATGAGTAATATTACCTCATATTACGTATACGCCAGGTGGTAAATTGAGAAAAATGCAAGTAATTTCTATGCGAATATTTATGATAGGTACATATTTCCCTCTAACAATTCGAGCTGTTTTGTGTATCGACCAACCCGTCTGTCTGCCTGTCTGTCAGTTCATCTGTCATCTGGTCACTTACTTAATATCTGATACATCTCAAGAGACTTTATTTGCGTAATTACATTCATTCGTATAATTTTCATAAAAGCAAAATTTCCATTAACAACAAGAAAATACCCGACAACAATTATCCTCTCATCTTTATGGTTCTTAAGGGCTGAGAAGATGAGCAACCAACAAAAAAAAGGATAATTATGGTCTTGTACTACTGGCTCACCTGCTGTTGTTTCCGTTTGTATGTCAGTGCCATTGACAGTATAGGTAGATGTTTCATTATTTGAATACTCTACATTGGGCAGGGATGTTGTTTGAGGTTTTGGTTGATAGGTGGTTAAGGGTGGCGGTGGTGGTGGTGCTATTCCAGAGGTAAGGGGTATTGTGGTGGCCTCTGCCGTTGGTGTTGTACTTATTATCGAAGTTGTGGAGGATGATGAGTTATGCTGCAACAACTGCTGATGCTGCTGTTGGGTTACATGTTGCTGTTGTTGTTGTTGCTGCTGCTGTTGTTGTTGGTTACAATTTTTATTGTTTTTATTCTTTTTGTAACGACAACCACGAAATCGACACATACTGGCAGCCTGGCCCATGGGGCCCGCTAACAATGCAAATGTTAGACCCTCCGTTTTAATGAATTTAATTTTGAAAATTTATTGCAAAAATTTGTTGCTGTTGTTGTTGTTGGAGTTCGTACCAGTTTCTTGGAAAAAGAGCGAGGCTGGTTGTTACTTTTGAAATTGTTGGAAATAATAATGAGGCTGTTGTTGCTGTTGTGATAACTGCTAATGACAGGAGTTTTTGCTGTTTTTGTTTTCTTGTTGCCAGGATACTTGGTATTGCCTTTGTTGAATATCCTTTGGGGAGTCCTTAATGATAATTTAACTATTTCTAATGATGCTGCCTTTGGCTTCAGTGTTGTTCTTCTTTCCCTCTTTCTTGTTGCTATTACTTTTGTTGTTGTTTGTGTTGCTGTTGTTACTTCTTGACTATTTGTTGTTATCTCAGGTGCTGCCGCTAAGCAATTATTACTACTGTTCTGCTTATTATTTATCTTTGGGCTATAATTAAATTTCTTTGAAATTTCTAATAAAATTCTTGATTTCATTGAATTTGAAACTTTTATTTGGTTCTCGTGCCTTTGTTGCCGCCGGTGATGCTGCGAATTAAAGTTGTTCATAATATAACCGTGCTCGTAATGTTGTTAATTATTTTGTTTATTTATTAAGTCTTTTGTTGTTCTTCTTAATGTTTCTTCTCATTACAAGAAATAAAAGTTTTTTTTTTTGTCTTTTAATTGACAATGTTATTTGATAATATTTTCAAATTTAACTGAATTTTTGACAGAAAAACAAAATTATGTATTTTTTCACTTTGTAAAGGATTTTGTTTTAAAATATAATCTTTTTTGTGTGGATTTTTCCGGGTGATAATTCACTCATTTAAATTGATTTTTTTTACAATATTTTTCGTAGATCACAGGACCAACTGACAAATTAATGTCATTTTTAAGACAAATGGTAAAAATAACGTGGAATCAATTACCGTGGACTAACAGACCAATAACTGAATTATTCGTAATATTTCTTTAAAGGCCTAGTCTTAATCAGGACTAAAAATTAAAATAGATTTTTAAGAATATTTACCTTAAAGAGAGAATACAATTTTTTTGAAGAATAATGTTCTGAGGACCGACAAACCAAAACCATGTGTTTCCAGAATTTTCTGAAGGGCCAAAAATCCGCTTTACTTAACATTTTTCAAATGATTAATTTACGTTAATTCTTTAAGAACCCTTTTCTAAGGGCCAACAGATAAATTAAAGAAGATTGATTCCAAAAAAAAAAAAAAAAAAAAACAAGAACTAACTGACAAATTAAGGAGTTTTTCAGAATATTTCTTTAAGGGCCCAGTATAAATCAGGACTAAAAGTTAAAATAGATTTCTTAAGAACATTTCCAACAAGGGTAGAATATAGTGGATTTTCTGAAATGTTTTCAGGGATAAACTTAAAAACATCGTTGTAGAATAATATTCTAAGGACCGACAAAATCAAAAACATAAAATTTTAGAATTCTTTCTGAAGGGTCAACGGCCCTATTTAATTTGAATTTTTCAAATGATCAATTCATGTAAATTTCTTATAACACTTTTTTAAGGCCCTACAGACAAAATAAAAAGCACTAACTGACCAATTAACAAGTTATTCAGAATATTTCTTAAAAGGGCCAAGTCTAAATCAGGACAAAAAATTTAAATAGATTTTTAAAAATATTTCCTTCAAGTAATTTTCCTTATGGATTTTTAGAAATGTTTTTTAGGAACAAATTTATGACGATTTTTGAAGAGTAATGTTGTAAGGACCGACATACCAAACCAAGGGTTTCTTGAATTCTTTTTGAAAGGCCTACAGTCCAATTTACTTAGTATTTTTTTAGAAATTGTAATTATTTCAGGATTTCAGATATATTTCTTCTTCCAATACCAAATTTAGTACTATTTAGTACAATTATAGTACACATTTCCAAAACCATCTCCATATCTCACCCCTAGATAACAGCAGAGATCTCAATATCCCAATAGCAAATTTTGTACCAGTTAGCACTTTTCGTAGAACCATAGCACGTATTTTTAAACAGCCACCGAATCTCATACACAGGTAACATCAATATTAGTACTTTTTTACAATTATACTACACATTCCCGAAACCACCTCCATCCAGGCTACATATGAACAGAGACCCTAATACTAAATTTCAGATTTCAAGCTCTTTCTGTTCACCCTATACCAAATGGTACTATTTTGTACTTTTCGTGCACTTGTAACATACATTTCCAAAACCACATATTTACCACAAATAGTATCACGAATAGGATCCCCAATTAAAAATTTCAAAATTCCAACATCCTCCGTTCATTCTAAACCAAATTATTAAAATAAATACCATTTAGTACTGTCCTCACAATTAGTGCACATTTCCAAAGCCACCTTCATATATCAAACATACTTTCCAACCTTGATTTTCAAACCAATTTCAAGTTTTAGGACAATCCATTCACATTAGACCAAATGGTACATTTTAGAAGTTTAGTACCATTTTGAAACTTTTCTTAACCGTTAACTTCGATTTTCCAAAAAAAAAAAAAAAACCTTTGGTACGTCTATTCTGCACTCCATTAGTGACTCTCACTAAGAATTTCAGAATTATAGCTAATTCCATTTGTCCAATACAAGGTAATAATTATTAAGTACATTTTAGTACATTTTGTACCCTTTAAGCACGAGTTTCCCATAACCCAGCCTTATCACATGCCAATGCAAGAACGGCTTATGTCGATATGACTGAAAATAGGTGTGAAGGTAGCGTAGAGCCAGGTGACGCATATAGGATACTACTTATATATTCGGACAATCCATTCACACTAGACCAAATGGTACCATTTTAGAAGTTTAGTACCATTTTGGAAGGTTTCTTAACCGTTAACTTCGATTTTCCAAAAACCCTTTGGTAAGTCTATTCTGCACTCCATTAGTGACTCTCACTACGAATTTCAGAATTATAGATAATTTCATTTGTCCAATACAAGATAATAATTATTAAGTACATTTTAGTACATTTCGTACCCTTTTGCCACAAGTTTCCCATAACCCAGCCATATCACATGCCAATGCAAGAACGGCTTATGTCGATATGACTGAAAATAGGTGAGAAGGTAACGTAGAGCCAGGTGACGGATATAGGATACTACTTATATAATCGGAGAGAGCAAGAATTCGGATATTTGGTATTAGGGTCGATTAGATTTTTTTAATGCAAACTCAAATTTTGACACCATTTGGAATTATCTGAACGGAAAGAGGTTAAATGTAAACATTTACTATAAGAATTATATTGGGGAGCTAGGATTGATGTCAGGAAGTGGTTTCTGGAAATGTGTACAAAGTGTAAGAACTGTACTGGGAACGCTCACTGCTAGTGTGTAAGGCTGAGATTTGAAGGTGGTTTTGGCAATATGTACCAAAAAGTTCGAAAAGTACTAAATGATACTAAATTTGATATATAAGGAAGGGATAGAGCTGGAAATCTGAAATTTGGAATGAGGGTCTTTGATGTCGTAATAGTCGACTTCGGAGATGTTAAATATCTGGTAGGGATATAATAATTTACCTCATACAACAATAAAGGACCATCCAATTTTGTGCAAAGTTTTCTATTCCTAATTTGTTTATCTATGATAGGTGTGGTGCAAAAATGGCCACATGGGGCCATAATTTTGAAAAATTATAAATTAAAAATTATAAAATGTTCGATTTTCTTTAAATTTTTGACATTCCAAAATTTTTATCAGTATTAGATAAAATGGAATAAGTCAGTCCATTATATTGGTACCTCTTATACGTTTCAAAATTTCAAAGTGAACTGAAGTCCTAGATCAGATGCAAAATTGACAATATTGAGATTTACCTTCGGAATGAAATCGAATCGTTCTTATTTTAAAATATTTAATTTTATGAATATATTTCAGCTTTGTTTAAATTTACAAATTAAATAAACAAACAAAAAAATCACGGTTTCCCTCCCTCTCCATCATAGGCTATTTTTAGACCCCATGCGACCTTGTTAATGTCCCAGAATTTCATGTGAAATGTCCTTTGAGTGTTTTGTAGGTCAGATGAAAACCAATATTTACGAGCACATACACATGGACACATTCGCTCACACTCATGGTCTCCCCCCCAAAAGCATCAATGGCATCAATAAATTTTCAATAACCTCGATGCTCCCTGTGGGAAATTTCATGCCAATGGCAATGGTGGCCAACACTCACCACAGAGAGGCGTTAAAATTTAAATATTCATTTGAAGCCTAACGTTTTTTTTTTTTCGTTCTCCTACCAAAAAAAATGTTAAACCACAAATTGTCTGATTTGCAAATGTAATAAAATAAAATAGAAATGATTTTTTGAAATCCCAAATCACAGCAAATGTCATTGTTACACTACAAGGGCTTGTTGAGTCTTGTTGTGCCATAAAAATCACCATCACATTGTAATAATTTTTCAAAGTTATAAAAATTTTACTTGAACTGTGATTTCGAAATTGGTTTTATGGAATTTTTATGACGGAAATTACCAAGGAAGGAAAGAGAATAAAAGAGATTCAAATTTGTTTTGGCCTTTACCATTAGCCACACTCTCTCTCTCCACCATCACAATATCCGGAGGAGTGTATTTCCAGGCAATTTCATGGCATTACTTGGGCCATTGCTAAGTAAGTCATGATGGAATTTCCATGGAAAATCTCATGTTATGCTTATTTTTGGTGCTTGTACTAAATGTCTCTAATAATATTTTTATGATATGAATGGGAATCGAAGAAGAAGAAAAAAATTATAATTTACTATTCATGAGATTCTCCTTGGCATTGATATTCCTTACACCAATCACACACCATACTTCCGAAGACATGTTTGGATATTTACACTTACACTTGTTGGTGATGTGAAGTCACGTTCGTCGAGCAAAAGAATGGTCATTGTATGAAAAGGAAATTTTCCAAGATGGAAATTCTGTGAAGTGAAAGGAAATTGCGTTGGATTCATATGGGGGGGGGCGGTGTTGGAGACTTGTGGGAAGGGTGGCCAATTCCTCATGTCATTTGTGCATATGGTATATCTTGCTCCAGAAATTGGCCCTAAACGTTGTGTTCCGGATGTTATGTCTCCCGTCCATAGACGTAGATGGGGGACTATGATAGGATTTCTGAAGAAAAACTTGAGGTATATTTTCTCCTTATACCCTCAAGAAAATCACACCTCTGATCTACAGTCGTCAGTGGTTCCCTGGGGGAAATATTCAAAAGCTAGAGAGACTGATGTCCTACTACAGTGAAAATTCTTATGGAAGAAATGTAATAGAAATTTCGTAGGAAAAACACCCAGCTTCATCCTCTTAAACATGTCATTTTGTTCCATGTAAATCAGGCATATGTGGCAGTCAACATTATATGTTTCTACCAAGTAACGGTTTTTTTTTTCGAAATTTTATTAAGAATTTTAAATTTCCCCAGATGTCTTCTTCCAATAACCTTCCTAAATAACTCTTTTAAACACTTCAAAATGCCCATTTTTGCCCCTATTTTCTCCCCCTCCCATACCA